TGTATGTAATAGTATAATTCATCATAATAACAGAATAATCAAAGTATGATCATTTAAGTAAATGGAAAAGCATTTGAAAAAATTCAATATTCAAAAAGAACAAAGAAACAAGCAATAGGGCCAAGGATATAGCTCAACAGCATGGCGCCTGCCTGCCAAGTGTGAAGCCCTGAGTTCAATTCCCAGTCCCCCCCTCCAAAAAAGAAAGAGGCATTACCTTATTTCAAAGCCTATCATAAAGCTACAGTAATCAAGATACTACTGCACTGATGTCAAGGTGGATAAACATATCAGTAGAAAAATGGTCCAGAAATAAATCCACATACTGACATATGAAGAGACATATAACTCAAAGAAAGAATTCGGAGTACAAATAAAGCTATACTACTTATGATGGTCAATTTAGGCCTTTATGACAGTGCCAAGACAAATCATGGGAGGGAGAGGGAATAGTACTTTTTAAAATCTGGATTGCCTATCTCATATCATTTACAAAAATTATCTCAAAATAGATCAGAGACCTAAATATGAGAGCTGTAACTATCACATATTTTTATCAGTGTATGTTTCAGTAAATAATACTAACATTCACTGTGGGGAATTGGTACATGCGTGTAACAACTTCATCAATGTATCCCTTAACCTGCCTTTGTCCCCCCGCTTGATTCTCTTCTCCACATCCAAAAAGTCAAACTTCTTGCTTCCTATCAACTCCCGTGTTTTACTTATTTATTTATCACCTAAACCTAGTTTAGGTTTCACATATAAGAGAAACCATGTTATATTAACATTCTGTGCCTGGCTTATTTTATTTAACAACATGGTCTCAAGTTCCATCTGTCTTCCTGCAAATGACATGATTTCAGTCTTCTTTGTAGCCATATTCAGCTATATTCCAATGTGTACATGTACACTTTCTTTATCCTCATTTGTCCGTAGACATCTAAGTTGTTTCCTGAGCTTAGCCATTGTGAATCATGCTGCTACAAACATGGATATGTACTTATGACTATCACTGCAGTGTGATGTCTTTACTTGAAGAACATACCCAAGAGCGGTATAACCAGATCAAATGGAATTTCTGTTTTTAGTATTTTGATGAATCTCCACACTGATTTCCTCAGTGACTGAACTACTTTAGATTCCCAACAACAATGCAGAAGAGTTCACTTGCCCTCACGTATTCTCCACCATTTGTTGCTTCCTGTGTTCTTGATGATAGCCATTCTGACTGGAATAAGATGGAATCTAAAAGCTGTTTTTATTTGCATTTTCCTAAGGATAAAGATGATAAGCACCTTTTCTTATGGCCACTGGTACTTCTCCTTTTGAAAAGTACCTATTCAATTTATTTGATCATTTTTAAAATTGGGTCATATGTTTGGGGGGGTAATTTTTTTTTTTTTTTAGCTCTTTACAAATTCTAGGTATTAGTCTTCTATCAGAAGAATAGCTGACAAAAGGTTTTCCTATGCTGTAGGTTGTCTTTTCACCCTGTTGATTATTTTCCTTTGCTGAGCAGAATCTTCTTAATTTGATGTAATCCTTTGTTTGGGGTTTTTTCCTTGGAATTATTTCTTATGCTACTGGAGTTGTGTTCAAGAAGTTTTGCCTGTTCTTGGATTCAAGGGTTCACCTTTTATAACCTTATATCAAGCAAATTGTTCTCACACTTGTGTCCTTTTCATTGCTTTACATCATAGGTTAATGAGGTAAATGTGGCAACTTCTGCTGATGTTGAACTTGATCATTTGGTTACAGTGGTTTCTATCAGTTTATCCATCACAGTGCTCTTTCTTTTTGTAGTTAACAAATAAGTTGGGGGAGATTCCTTGAACCAAAGAAAATCCCATTTTTTTCTGACACTTCACCCACTATTTTTAGCATCTACCAGTAGCCCTTTCTGCAACACTTATTATTGTTTATGCTTCATAGTAATTCTGATTTTCTCTTTGCTTTACTCATTTATTAATGGGAATTTTACTATAAGGAAGACCTGAACCTTCTCCCCCATTTATTTACTTAGTTGATTTGTATTTATTATTCTCTGACATAATCCAACTCTACCAATATTTATTTTGTTATTTAAGTTGCTCCAATTTTGACCACTGGTGCCTTTTTCAGATTGACTCTCAGTTCTTCAGACAAGCCCCTATCTTATTTTAAAGCACTACTTGACTCACTGGACACAAAATGTTTCTGGCTCATATTTTACCTTCTCCAACAGTGGAACTGACCACTTCTTCCAGAAACCCTGGTGTTTATAAACTAAAGTATGAATGCTATTTGCTCATGACTATTGATGTATTATTGCTTTTAGAGCTTCTCAGTGAATAGAACTAGAAATTGTGTGTATGCATCACAATTTTTGAGAAGACAGGATAATTATTTTATGAAATTCCCACTAGGAGTCTGTCTGATAATCATGATTAGATTCATGTTATATAACCCAGGGTGTACTACCTCATAAATAATAATACATACTTTCAGGAAATGATCTAAAGTACACTGTAGAATGTTTAGCAGTATCCTTTGCCTCTATTCAATATGCGCCAGTGGTCCTTCATCATCAATTTTGACAGAATTGTCTCTAGACATTGCCAAATACTCCATCAGGGAAATTATAGGCAGTGGCAATATATATGACTTCCTAAATTATGGGTAAGATCCATCTGAGTACATCAGAGATGAGAATGTAGATAGATAAAGTAAATTCTTTGTACATAAAAATGCTTAAAATTGACTACAGAAACATTTTAAATGAATTACTCAACAGTACTTTCCCTGGGAGCCTTTAACCAAAGAAAGAAAGCAAGCTGCAAAGCCACAGTATTATTCTGAAACACATAAAAGATCATGAAGAAAACAGGTTAACTTTAAATTACTGCAGGACAAAAGTGTCAAAGCCATACAACTTCAAATCCAGACCACCAAACCATTCAACTATTTAATACTATAGTAAGAAAATCTCTGTAGGTTAATATGAGGAATAGTACTCAATCTGGTCTATAGTGAACAGCATATCAACAAGTTCATGGTGTTATTTAGAAACTAAAGATTAAGATTGAGAATTTGGGAATATAAATTGAAATATCTGTATTAAAATTTAGAATAAAAATAACATCAAACATTTGGACTAAAAAGCCTATGCCTGAACTCCCTTTATTAAAAAAAAAAAAAAAAAACTAAAGATTTGGAATAGAAGGGGCTGGGGATTTAGCTCAGCGGCAAAAG